TGATGGATGCATCTGTGCAGACCAGTAAGTACTCAGTCAACAATATCTCTCTGGTAGACTGAGTCGTCTTCCAGTCTGTGATTAGCGCCACACTGGAAATTGAGATGACAGTAAGCCTGCAGGATAATTTTCACATTTAGCCTGTCATTCTTCTCAGAGAATCAATTGACTAGGATGCACATATTCATGGTTGGCCATCGTGAGCAATACTGCGTCAGTGAATGCACTAGAGTCAATAGACAGAATAATATTAATATTTAAGCATATGTGGAAATTTGTCAGTATTGGATTAAGGTGAACTGTGGATTTCTGTGATCGATTAGTTGTCTTTTGATGTTGGTGTTGTGTTGTGTGGCTGTAGCTGTAGCTGTGGTGCTGGCGGTGGCGGTAGCGGTGGCGGTGACCCTGGTGCTTGTGGTTGTGCTGGCGCTGTCACCGTGGTTTTTATTGAGCAAGGCTTTGAGTCATCTGACTGACCCCCACAGAAATGCCCATCTACATTAGTCAGTAGTCAGAGGGATAGTGAAGTGATGCTTGCTATGTGGTGATGACTGGGTCGCCATGCATAACATACACCATTGTCAATTTAGTCGGTGATGGTCAACAAACTTATCAACTGATCTGCTTGTTTAGCCCGATATTCCACGTCTAGCCTACACCATGTTTATATATACATATATATATGCTGATTTCATTTCACGCAGACTGTGGTGTCTTCATGACACTGGCTGGAGGTCCTCGCCAACTCTGCACACTTAGAATAATGTCCGTTCGTCAGTCGAATATTTTGCTTAGAATGCCTTAAGATGCAGACATCAGGGGAAGACGACGAGTGACGAGTCAAGTCAAGAAGCTCGTATGACTTGTGGTGAATTTCAGTCGACCCGATGCCGGCTAGAGGTGATGACGAGTGGCAAATAAGTGACATCTATCTACTCGAAGAATCCTCTTTGTTATGTGGAATGATGGATGCATCTGTGCAGACCAGTAAGTACTCAGTCAACAATATCTCTCTGGTAGACTGAGTCGTCTTCCAGTCTGTGATTAGCGCCACACTGGAAATTGAGATGACAGTAAGCCTGCAGGATAATTTTCACATTTAGCCTGTCATTCTTCTCAGAGAATCAATTGACTAGGATGCACATATTCATGGTTGGCCATCGTGAGCAATACTGCGTCAGTGAATGCACTAGAGTCAATAGACAGAATAATATTAATATTTAAGCATATGTGGAAATTTGTCAGTATTGGATTAAGGTGAACTGTGGATTTCTGTGATCGATTAGTTGTCTTTTGATGTTGGTGTTGTGTTGTGTGGCTGTAGCTGTAGCTGTGGTGCTGGCGGTGGCGGTAGCGGTGGCGGTGACCCTGGTGCTTGTGGTTGTGCTGGCGCTGTCACCGTGGTTTTTATTGAGCAAGGCTTTGAGTCATCTGACTGACCCCCACAGAAATGCCCATCTACATTAGTCAGTAGTCAGAGGGATAGTGAAGTGATGCTTGCTATGTGGTGATGACTGGGTCGCCATGCATAACATACACCATTGTCAATTTAGTCGGTGATGGTCAACAAACTTATCAACTGATCTGCTTGTTTAGCCCGATATTCCACGTCTAGCCTACACCATGTTTATATATACATATATATATGCTGATTTCATTTCACGCAGACTGTGGTGTCTTCATGACACTGGCTGGAGGTCCTCGCCAACTCTGCACACTTAGAATAATGTCCGTTCGTCAGTCGAATATTTTGCTTAGAATGCCTTAAGATGCAGACATCAGGGGAAGACGACGAGTGACGAGTCAAGTCAAGAAGCTCGTATGACTTGTGGTGAATTTCAGTCGACCCGATGCCGGCTAGAGGTGATGACGAGTGGCAAATAAGTGACATCTATCTACTCGAAGAATCCTCTTTGTTATGTGGAATGATGGATGCATCTGTGCAGACCAGTAAGTACTCAGTCAACAATATCTCTCTGGTAGACTGAGTCGTCTTCCAGTCTGTGATTAGCGCCACACTGGAAATTGAGATGACAGTAAGCCTGCAGGATAATTTTCACATTTAGCCTGTCATTCTTCTCAGAGAATCAATTGACTAGGATGCACATATTCATGGTTGGCCATCGTGAGCAATACTGCGTCAGTGAATGCACTAGAGTCAATAGACAGAATAATATTAATATTTAAGCATATGTGGAAATTTGTCAGTATTGGATTAAGGTGAACTGTGGATTTCTGTGATCGATTAGTTGTCTTTTGTTGTTGGTGTTTTGTGGCTGTGTGTGGTGGTTGATAGTTTCTTTCTGTGTATTCTTTAATTACTTTCTGTTGATTACTTATATGTTTCATATTCGATTTGCATTCGAATTCCGCTGAATACATATTCCTGATTTCCTCCCTCTGTGTTTTGTTTGGATTCTTGTTTTTGCGGTCATCTGGAAATACTAGTAGTACGATTACGATAAATTACTGCAAATTGGCGTCGCGAAGTAACTAAATAACCTGGGAAAATTTCCTTTAAAGTGTTCCCCGCGGTAGACTGCTGATTATTTTGAATGCTTCGATGCGTGGTGCATTTCCAAGAATGTTCGGGATGACAAAATACCAGCACATTTCATTACTGCTATTGGGCTAGATGCGTATAGCCTAGTGAAGACTCTGTCGTTTCCAGATAAACCAATTTCTCTACCATATTATAAACTCCGTGAACTTCTGATAGATCACTTCCATATAACTACCTTTGAGACGCGAGAGAGGGCTCAATTCAACAAACTGGTTCGTGCTCCCAACCAGAAGATTCTAGAGTTCATTCTTCAACTTCAAATTCAAGCTTCAAAGTGTAACTTTGGAGATCAGCTGCATACACAACTACGTGATCGTCTAATTGCTGGAATCAATATTCCTAAGTTAGAGAAAGAGTTAATTCAGATTCCTTCTTGTACCTTTCAAACTGCTAAAGATTTATGTATTACATATGAAGATGTCAATAATGAATACTCTGCTCCCACTACGTCAGTATCTGATTTCATGCTTTCTAAAGTCGAAAATACAAGTGGTCATGGAAAGCAATCCAAACTGTCGTCCACAGGTAATAGAATGCAGCGAGAGATCAAAAACATTAAACCGTGTTTTTCCTGTGGAAAGTTACATCTACGAAGCACTTGCCGTTTTCGGGGTGCTAAGTGTCATAAATGTGGTAAAGTTGGACACATCAAGACTGTTTGCAGAAGTTCGAATACTTATGTTACTCAGAATTCTTATAATTCTCCCAATCTGTCTAGTAAAATGGAGTCAATGTGTCTTTCAACTTTTCAAAATACTCAATCTCATCCAATGAAAACCTCCACTACAAGTTCAGCAACTCAAGCGTCAACTGTTTCCAAAAATGAGGTAGCCGAGTTACAATGCGAACTGTCGAAAACACGAGAAGAACTGAATGAGATGAGAGAGCAACTGATTAAAATGGAGGAATTGTTGCATATGCATAGACTGCGTCTGTTGAATGCAGAGCATACAAGTACCCGTGAAAGTCCTGCAAAACTTCTCAAATCTCGAATTCTCAAAAAGCATCTGATGTCCACGACTTCTAATGTACATTATTACAAAGGGAATGACTACAGACCTTCTGTTGGAATCATACTACAAAAAATGGGAAATCGAGTGGTGAAGATATTAGACATCAAAGATCACTCAGTTCATAACGGACACCTGGACAAAGTGACAATAAATGAAGTAGGTCGTTCCAATTATAATATAAATAATTCCGCTACTAATCCTGATTTTGTAGATAATTCTGAAATAAGTCCAGATAACAGTGATGAAGATAATATCACAGAATCAGTTAGAAGGTCGCAGCTACTTGCAAGCAAACCGAGACATCGTTAAAAATACGCAAGGAGATATTCGACGTGTGGCGGATGTGGTGATTGACAATTTCTATTTCTGTATTGTTTAAGTATATACTCTTGATTGCTAACATGTTTCATATATGAATTCCATTAGAATTCCGATAAATACAAATTCCTGAATTCCGCCCTCTGTGTTTTGTTTGGATTCATGTTATTCGGGCATCTCGAAATACTAATAATACGACTACAAACAAATTAATACACAGTGGCTGTAGCTGTGGCGGTGACCCTGGTGCTTGTGGTTGTGCTGGCGCTGTCACCGTGGTTTTTATTGAGCAAGGCTTTGAGTCATCTGACTGACCCCCACAGAAATGCCCATCTACATTAGTCAGTAGTCAGAGGGATAGTGAAGTGATGCTTGCTATGTGGTGATGACTGGGTCGCCATGCATAACATACACCATTGTCAATTTAGTCGGTGATGGTCAACAAGCTTATCGACTGATCTGCTTGTTTAGCCCGATATTCCACGTCTAGCCTACACCTTGTTTATATATATACATATATATATATGCTGATTTCATTTCACGCAGACTGTGGTGTCTTCATGACACTGGTTGGAAACCTGTGATCGGTTAATTGGGTTTGGTCAGAATTTTAATAAGATGCAGAAATGAATGGAAGTCGACGATTGAATTGTTGATGCGCTCTGCTAATATAAAAATGGTGATTTGTTTTGGTTTGGTTGGTTTGTGAACGTGATTGATTTCGTTGTTTGGTTATCAGTGGATTGCCTAGTGGTTTCGAATGTTTTTAATTCTGTCATTTAAGTTTTTGATTATAGTACGTTTTTAGTGTGATATTTTTATGCTTTTTTATCCGTTCCGATGAAACTGGATATTTAAAGAGAAATGACTTTCGATTGCAATGACGTCGGCATTCGTTCATTGTGAATACAACTTATCAAGTGGTGAATTAACCTTAAGTAACTATGTGAATCCCAATGCACTTCTTACGTTGGAATACACTGTATTTATGGATGTAAATAATCAATCGGGAAATCGGTGCTTTATATTTTCACTTAACTAGGCTTTTAACGGTCTTATGAGTATTTACTTTAAGGTTTGATAGAGTTACGGATTCAAAAGTGTAGTTGAATTAACAATTATTTATTTTGAATTATCCGAAAAGTCCCTCAGCTTATTACATGGAAATTCAACAGCTGTGCTCTAGGAAACTTTGAAAAATACATATTTAAAGTTTACATCAGGTACCGGGTAGATGCATCACAGTTTTTTTCTACATTTCATTCAACTTTCGTGCTTGGCATCACTTGCCATCATTTTTGTTAGTCTCAGTTGTAGTACGCGTAAGTGCAATGTAATATGCATTGGGTGGACCCTCTTGAGTATCATGAAATCCTAATGGTCCCAGTTCACAGTCAGCACACGTTAAATAGCGAAATGTGCTAACACTGTTTGTAAATCCAACGTTTTCAAATGTGTATATATCGTTGACACACCAAAACTGCTCAGTCAATTCTGTGGGAAATTCTTTCGAAGGGTCGGAAAGTTCAGATTTCTTGGCCAACACCGGTAAATCATGCTACAAAGAAAAAGAAAAAAAGTGAAAACAAAAGCATTAATCGTGATTGTATTGACATTTACGAAAAGTTCATTTTTCCTTTTCAATAGGTGGTGCATAGATTATGTGAGCAGGTATAGTGTTTTAGGAATTTTATCTTTATGCATTGGATTTCATTGAGCTAATTTGGATGCTATGGATGTAATAAATTTCAGATAAATAACAAAAAAACTTTATTACACTATCAAAATTGTTGGTTTCGAGTGTAAAGAATGAGAGAAGACAAGTATACGAAGTGATCTTACAAACTCAAGTTAACTGATAGGTAGGTTTAAGTGAAAACACCTACCCCTATTTTATACATACAAGATGGATAAGTGGAACATTTACAGTAAATTCGAACTTTCAAATCATCAGTGCGCGTATTCTTTTGCCCTACGCATCTGAAATTAATTAATGGTAAGTGAAAAAAAAATTATGAAAACAATAGTTCCTCAGTTACTTTTCAGGAGAGACAAATGGGACGTTGGAGAGAACACCATGAGGACGGATTTAACTGGGCTGCACTCACGACAAAGTTATCCAGTATCCAACTCTAACCTGAATCGTTCCCAGACATTAATCATCAAACTGTAACTAAGGCTGCAAAAGCTGAATCTAGTCCGAAATGAGGCAAAACATTGTGACCTGACAGCGTGACTCTCAAAGTGCTTAAGGATTGTACTGATATATTACCGACTAGGATGTGTGTAGATATCATAGATAGTCCTATTGAACTGGCGCGTAAAACATTTACTACCCGGGCCTAGAGGAGGGAAGACAAATATGTTTGTGATAATTATAATAGGGTCAGCTTGACTAACATAGTATCTAGAAATTCAGGCTTCTTAATCCCGCACAGACTAGACAGAAACAAACTCGAGAAAACCAAACAGGCTTTAAGCCATCCCGCTTGACAGATTCTGGAACATACACGTACTTTCTGGTGTTCATCCACTTGTCACATTTCTTAACCCGAAGCGGATGTCTAACTACATCAACTAAGAGGTACCATACAATCACTGAGAATATAAACAAAACTCCCAACGAACTGCTATTTGGTGAAATCAGCACGGAAACAGGTTTGTATGGCACTTACTAACACATTACACATTTCATACCAATAAGAAATAAATCCACTAATTTTTGCAACCATTAGAAATAGAAATTGAAAAGGTCAGATGGGATTAAAGGACAAGTAATGCTAGAGTTAGGTGAAGAGGACGTTATCAAATTGACTAAGCAGTTTGTCTTCCCAAATGAGGTAAATGGGTTACGCATAATAGTATGGGCTCTATGGATGTTACAGAATAATGTTTATAGGCTTCTCTTGATTTGACTTCATACACTTATCTTATCATGGCGAATTCTGTTTACCTATCACCAGGAAACATCATACACAATTTCGCTAATCTACTTCATATATATATATATATATATATATATATATATATATATATATATATACTGTGATATTACTCTATTATCTTTATCGGGACTCAACAACTAGAACTGATGCATCTATTTGCAATGTCCTACCTTGATATTCCTATCCCACACGATTGGACTGACACGGATAAGTCATCAATCCTAAAACTACTATGGATGAACTCCTAAGATTCACAAAATAGACCGGAAGAGGTTACGACAACACCATTCGTGTTCTATATATTGATTCTGTAATATATACGTATGATGCACAACTTAAGAGTTTAGTAAGGTTAAATTTAAGAATAAATACCTACTGGGAGTTGTAACCATCAGAAAAAAAAGGGAAAGAAACGTACTACAGTTCTTGGTACCAGCGTCTCTTAACTCTTCCTCGGTTTTCAAAACTATCATAGGTAGAGTGTTTGCAGCTAAAGGGGAATAATTTACTGTACTCGTTTATTTCTTATAGCTAGCAGTTTGATATGTGTATAACTCTTAAGTAGCTCCAGTTATTTGCATCACTTTATTTGCTTAAATGAAGTGAAATGAGGTATCTTGCCATTAAGCTTCAATAAGTTGGCTTTTGAAGAAAGAACACTCATTAGACACAAATGATGCTTCACACATCAACTGGAGATATAGGAGTGTGCATGATATCTTGCACACAATACATTTTTAATTGCTGACTTAACTTTTATTATGTATAGTCTAGCTGCTTTACAAGCCGTATTGATTTCGTACACAGCTTTATACGTTTCATGTTTAAAATTGACTTCCCATAAGATTTGAAATTCCTGGGGACGAAAATCTTAGTTCATAGGACAAAAAACTACTAAAATATTTGCGAATCAAGCTGAAAACATTTGCTACTATACTTAAATCTTACTTGTTTGTTGGCAAGTTTTGCCGTGTTTTTGCGGAGGACAACACTGGAACATCGTGGACACAAAATGTTAAATTGATTGTATCCATTTTGAGTGAGTTCAGTAGTGGCATCAGTCGGCTTGCAAAATCTAGAGAAAACGAAGTGAAAATAAAGCATTTAACTTACTCTACGGATGCCATTCAATGAAATATACTTGAATAAGAGACTCCTGAGCGAACTGTAACAAAAACATTAAACCAAGTGTACAGTGGTTATTTTGAGCAATATTGGTATCACAATTTCATCACGAACAGAGAGGATATATTTGAATGACATTCTGTTACAAGCTAATCTACATGTATCTAGGATTGGATAGCTTTTTATGTTGAATACTCTAACTGAAAAATCAACACGTAGTTAAATGACCGACGAAATCTGATCGCAGATTTATGCTCTGATTACTTTGAATACCAATTGTAGTATCTTGGAAGATCAGGATTTTTATCTCATGTACACGAAAAATGGATGACAAAATCAGTTGAAATGAGTTCTGAAATATTTTTGGATGGCATGTAACAAGTTTACGTCAGCTTTCAATGGAGTATAATGCACCGGATAAAGGTTAATTTATGATACTACGGACTGAAATAGCTCCATATAGCTGAAGGTGGTATTATGCATAGATATATGCACAAACTCTAGTCAAAAAGTACGACTAACCACTGATTTTATTATCTCATACTTTTAGTCTTAATCATGGTGCTAAGATAAATCAGCTTAGATTTACCACAATTATGATTTCTGATTTCGAATGTTTTCGGTGCATATTCTTCAACTCAGCCTATTTAGTAAGAATACTACTTGCAACCAGATATATTCGTATGAAAACCTGAACGCACGGTTCGTGGACTAATAGAGCAGAATACACAATAAGCTTCATAAGACCAAGTTTGAAGTTGCAGAGGTCTACTACGTGTCTGAATAACGTGAGACTCTGTACTGAAAAACACTATACTGGATTAGAAAACCAGTAGGATTTCGTGACTTGAATAAACAGGTACTTTAGTGAGGACATAAAACTGCACAAAACAGAGCAACACTGATGTGAGATGAACTTTTTAATGAAATCGCCGTTCAGTATTAACTCTCTAAGAGTCAAAACTTTATTTCGTAGATATCATTATCCTGAGACAACCATACACGTTACAGCATAATTGGAGTACGAACCATTTACTAAGCTAGTTTCAACGTAAACATCGTACAGAGGTGCAATAGTAGTGTAACAGCTAGATAAAACGACACCATTCTGAATTTAAGGAATCTCCATTCAAACAAACCAACAAAGTGCACTGCCCTAGAAAGTACTCAGTTACGGTAACAGTTATGACCATTGCCAATATTTAATTTAAAACTCTCCTGACAATGATAAAAACGTACGCTATTATTCTTGACTAAGTTACAACATAAGACTTTGCACCAAAGCGAAACAGTTGAAGTTGCAAAGATTCATGCAGCCCACAAAGACAGAAGCGACCAATGGTACTCAAAGGAACTATAACGAGAAGTTTATGAAAGGAAAGGATAGTCATATGGGGAAAAATTAGAACTTTATGAACCTGGGAATGAATGAATTCGTGCCATTGAGGCTTCTAGTTGTTAGCTAACAAGAGCAAACAACGCAAGCTACGCACAGCCTGTAAACTGACTAGGCATCTAAATTTCACGAGCAACCTAACGTACACAATACGAAGGTTAATAACCATTAGAAAACAAGTCAACAATCTGATCAAGAATAGGAGTCATAAGTGTTAGACACAGAAGAGAAGTCCATTCGAAAAATCAACACAGGTGCAGAGATAACGACACGAATGATTATGGGGACTAAGTATTCCATCATGGTAACTCTATCCCCGCCCGAACCTGTAGGACATATAGGGCATCACTTTTCCATTAGGTTATAAGCCCGAAAGGGTTTGATGCAAAGATTTTGGAAAATATCCCTTAAATCTGACACCAATGTAATGTTACAGGCACAAAAAACCGACTCCAGCTAACCTGAGCGAGAATATCTTCTCCCTCCCCTAAGTACTAAATATTTGGACCCGACCGCCGAAAATGTGACCTCCAATATCCAATATCCTGATTACGAGCTAGTATAAACCAGTAATTTCTTTGAGCTCGCTTCTTGATTGTGAGGTAGAGGTTCCAGATCTTCCGTGAGCTTCTGCGTAGTACGTCCCGCCACTCGACTGCTTTAGCTGTGGTAGACTACAAGAGGAGTGGTGCGGGGATTGGTCAAGCTGTGGTTTGTAGTATGCAGTATGTTAGGACTGTGTTGCTGCCGTCAATGGAGTTTGACCTAACTCCCATTGGTCATTCGGTGTAGTCATAAAAGCAGAATAGCAATAATAATAGTAATATGTTGTAGTGTAGATAATATAGGTTGAGATAAGTGAAATAATAAAGGTGACCTGAGGAAAAGATAGAGTAGCCGGTACAGTGAGAGAAGGCAGAACATGTCGTGGGGATTTAGTTTGTATGCTTATCCATTGACAGTGTGTTTTTAAGTTGTATGAGGATAAGCCATTGAGACACAAACCTTGCATTTCTGCATGATTGTCCAGCTCCCGCTTAAAAATCTCCAGAGATGGCGCTGTAGTCACAGCCGCCGGTAAAACGTTCCAGAGGCGGTAAACTCGAAGCGAAAAGAAGTGTGAATTCACTCAAGTCTTTGGCCTCTGGTGTGCTATCCTTAGCGGGTTACCTCGTGGAGGCCTATAATCACTTAATGGCAGGATGCTTTTATTTGGGTGGGCCTAGTCATTTGAGATCTTGTAGACGGTGGTGAGGTCTCCCCGTGCCTACGGTAACTAAGTGTGAAAAGACTTAATTTCTTCAGTCTTTCCTCGTAGGCCAATCACCCATTTTGTCGCTCATCTCTGGACACTTGCTAGAATGTTAGTATCCCTTTTGGGTAGCGGAGGAGCAATGATATTGTGCACCTCAAGGTGTGGCCTCACATATGTCTTATATAACCTTAAGAACAGTTCCGGGATTAAGAGCTCCCAGCTGCCTATGCATAAAGTGTAAAGATATATATATCCAATATCGTCTTGGCGAGCTAGTAACCAATTCGATTTCTTTGTGTTCGCTTATTGATCGGGAGGTAAAGGTTCCTGATCTTCGGTAAACTTCTACGTAGTTTGTCCCGCCGCTCGAATTTCGTAGTTTTAGTTGACTCCAAACAGGGTGGTGCTAGGATTAATTATGTTTTTTGTAGTATGCTGTGCGTTAAGGCTGTTACTGCTGTATATGGAGTTGATCCTCTCAAAAGTTAGTCCTACGGCACCGTTGTCAAAAGAAAACAGATAATAACAGATATAATTAGTGTAGGTTATTCAGACTAAAAGACAGAAAAAGAAATAAAGAAAACGTAAAAATAGACAGTTAATTAAATTTCAAGTTAGTATATATATGCATAAATAAATATATATGAATACGATATCAGTAATAATTATTACTACAATAAGTGTTGGTGTAGTGGTTGGAGTAGTCAGAAGAGTAAGATGGGAGAGAATGTAAAGAAGTAAAAGGACGAATTTAGATGTCTACCCATGCATGGTGCATGGGATTTTAAGGGGTAAGGCCGTCCTTGCATCTCTGCATGATTGTCCAGCCTCCCCTTAAAGATGTGCACAGACCGTGCCATAGCTACATCTGCCGGTAAGGAATTCCAGGGACGGCAAACCCGCAGTAAAGAGAGTGGTAGAGCACCCTAGTCTCTACCCTCTGGTGAGCTATCCTTCTGGGATTTCCACGAGGAAGTCCATACCTGCTCAATGGCAGAACACCATTGTTTGAGTGATTCTGGTCATTTTCTATCTTTTGGACAGTAATCAGGTCCTCCCTAAGCCGAAGGTAGCTAAGTATGAATAGGCCTAATTTCTTTAGCCGTTCATCATGTGGTTTATTTCGGAGACCCACCACTCCTTTTGTCGCCCGTCTTTGAACTCTTTCCAACAGTTTGCATCTTTTCTAAACAGTGAAGGTGCAATGATATCAGGAACTTTAAGGTGTGGTCTGATTTGTGTTTTGAACAACCTTAGAAGGAGCTCAGATGGGACTGCGCCTAACTGTCTATGTGTAAAGTGCATGACCGCACATTCCCTCGCTACGTCCCCCGCGTAATTTACGCTTGTGTCAACTATTTCCGTTAAAACAAGACATCAGTCACGCTCCGACGTTGTGCAGGACAAGCTTTCGTTGCACAGAGTACAACTTTCATTCTGCAATCTACGGGTAAGTAATTTCACTACTTTGCTTTTTTCAGGTTAAAAGTCATGCCAATGGCCACTGGCAACAGCCCAGGCTTTCAGAAGGTTTAGATCTGTCTGCAGCCTATCTGTGTCTCCCGAACACTTTCTTGACCTCCATATCTTTACGTTGTCAGCGTATAGAAGAGCCGGGCAGCTTAGACGGAATAGCAGGTCACTGATAAGAATCAAAAACATCAGTGGCCTTGGGGTTACATATTGGCTTAAGAATAAAGGATTCTTGAGTCGTCACTCTGTGTCCTGGTTTTTTCGCGTTAGTTATTACAAAGTGTTTCTGAAAGTCTTCGAGGGACAGCGTGAGGTCCAGCGTGGTAAGAGATAGACATTGACAATTTCTGAGAGTTGGCTGACAGAAGGTCATAATGAACTGTGTCAAATGCCTACTTAAGATCTAGGAAGACAATATGGTTTGGAATATTCATATCCCACCATGATACCCAATCGTCCCAAGCTGATAGTAGGTTTGTTACTCAGGATCTGCATTTGCTGAAACCGTGTTGGTCTTCGTGGAGTCTATTAGTCCTATCGAGGTGCTCCCTGATGTGATCTTCACTAATGATCTCCAACACTTTAGATATCATTGGTAAAGTGCTACTGGTCTGTCACTGGTGACATTTCGCCATTCCTCATCCTTAAAGATAGGAGAGAGAATGGCTCTTTCCCACTTTCTTGGCAGTTTCCGCTAATCTATCGAGTGTTGGAACAAGCCGCGTAAGTGCCTACAGGGATCTTCGACGCCTTTTTTCAAAACAGATGGACTTATGTCATCACAACCTGGGGACTTTCAAGATATGAGTCTCTGTAGCTTCTCTAGTGCTACTGCCGGGTTTATTTGGGAAGCGTTCACTAGGTTTTCCTTACGGTGAAGTAGGAGTGCCGCCATTTTGGTCCGCACCAGTAATACCCACAGTGCCGTTTAACCCTTTGGTGAAGGCTAAAATGAATGTTTCGGCCATCTCCACACCAGTGAGGTATTGACCGTTTGGACCTACTAAGGCGCATACCCCCTGTTTAGTTGGTTTTCTCTCCGACACGATTCGCTGGGAGTGTTTTAGCAAAGTTAGCCTGGAATGACCTCCCGTCACACATGACTTTTACGTTGCACCGGTTAATAAGTTCCAAGTATGCACATTGGTCGGTCTGACTCTTGGATACTCGCCGTGTAGATCAAGCCTTCCTCTTTGCTCGCAGAATACGTCGAGTACCTCTCTTCAGCCATGAGGAACTTTTTTCGGCTGTACTGTGACTAAAGGGACGGCATGCGAGGTTGCTGTGTGAATAATCTCTTTTATCACCTTCAAGTGTTCATCCACAGATAACCCATTTCATTCTATGGGCCACTCTGCGTCGGAGAAAAGCCTCCACATATCAGCAAAGTCCACCTTGTTATACCACGGACATGATGGGACATGGTAGTGTCCTACTGCAAGTGCTCACGGAGAACAAGATGGAACCCTATGACTGCATGATCACCACTTCCTAGTGGGATCATGATACGGACCTATCCGACGAGTAGTTTCGATAACCTCCCACCAGGGCCCCACCTAGTGTCGTCTCCAACACTCTCAGTCAGTCCTGTATTTCTAATGGTTTGCAGTAGATTTCGACTGAATTTTTCCTGGGCTTACCCCGAGCCAAGGTTCAGATATGGGGCTCTGAAATCTCCAGCTGTGATGATTCGGTCACAGCCCAAGTCCCGTATCCCTGTGATGGTGCTGAGCTGTATCTGGTTGTGCTTCACCCCACAGGCAGGTGGTCGGTAGATGTCACCCAGCAAATGCCTGGTGTGGCCACGGTGAAATGACACCATATGGAGTCTGGGGGTTCATTAAGTGGTGCGTCCATTGCACGCACACATTTAAGTTGCTTGCCAAAGTATATGGCAACTCCCCCTTCCTATTTATCCGTGTCTGTCCTGACCAGAATCATAACACTTATGCTGATTTGGTTGCCGGCAATAGTGAAGGTTAGCCAGGTTTCAGTGAAGATGATTATTTCGAGGTGTGGGTGTGAGTGGAGATTTCTCAGTTCATCTACTTTCCCTTTCAGCCCTCTGGCGTTGTTATAAAGGCGGCTGACAGTGAGTTTCACAACCTTAGTGTGTTGTGGAGTAGTTGACGTTACGTTGCCTGCTGGCAGGGAACTTCATATTGGGAGTAGTTAGCCGATTCTGATGGAATCGGTCCGTTGTCGTATTTTTTCCTTGAAATTGGGTAGGACACTTGGGTGACACTCTCAGTCCCGCATCGGTGTAGTGCCACTGAGGCTCAAAGACGTAGTAAGACCTCTGTTTGCTGACTATATATGGTTCGAGGTCTAATTCCGCAGCATCGCACGTATTCTCCCAATTTACTCTTGGTCTCGTACAACCGTTGAAGTACTATATCCAACTGTTTCTGATAGTTGGATTTAGTCACTAGAACCCATCCCAGTGGCCCATAAATTCCAACTTCTGCCAATTCACGAAGTAGCACGACCACTAGTCAATGTCATATTTTCACACCCGACCTTCAAGGGCCAGTCTATGCGATAAATCATATAGATACCTATATGTGCATAAGATGGTCTAATTAAAGCTGACCTATTTCCCTGAGATTAATTGATGATGCTGATGATGTGAGTCAGTGGCCCGGCGGTTAGGACGCTCGCCGACCATGCACACTGTCCGGGGTTCGATCACCGGCCGACTCACTCCTTTACCTCGCTAAGCCACAAATAATTCTGGTAAGGAGGAAAGGTTGGGCATGAGGCTAGAAACCCCATCCTGTAAAAAATAAACACTGCTACAGAAACTTCAAGCCGCTGGCTTGAAGCCCTGTGTTCCACTGGGAACGTGAAGGAAAAAAACTGATGATACTGAATGACGGTTTTGGGTTATAATTTGATTCCCATGAACTATACGTTGCCCTAATCCTTGAAAGGAAGGAAAGCGTGAGGTACGCCACCCAGTGGAAAACGACTCCGTTTCTGCTGACATTTCAAAGCGCATAAAAGGCAAACTTATTGCCCTCCCAGAATAGGAAATAATGTCCAATTACATGGAAGGTGACACTG